GTTTCCCAACCCCCAAGTAGTCTATACTTGCGATTAGTCCAATATGCAGAAGTAGTTGCTGAGGAACGAAAAACTAGTTAAACTTGTGAGGCAAAGATGGTAGTTTACTCGCGGTTTTGTGTCCGAGACACTCCTTCTCCTAAGGATCCCAGCTCAGGTCTCAGCGTCTTTTGAGCTGCAGTGTTCCCAGGCCGTTGGCAGTAGCGGTAGTTTGTTCTGACCCCAGTGGGGCAGTTGTAGGTCTGCAGGGATCACAATGTTGAGGCTTGTTAAGAATGCTGGTATGTCCATAGAGGGTAATAGCACAGAGGTCTTGGGTCCAGTGAATATGATGATTTTGAATGGCTATCCCCATGCGAATATTAAGCCTTTCTCTCGGAGGAGGTCTGTGACTGGTTTCCAGTCCCTCCGTCGTTGTAGTGTGGCCAGTGCTATATCTGGATACAATTGCAGTTCTGTGCCTTCCCATGTGTACGGGTGCGATCTGCTGTGTTTGAGGATGGCGTCTTTTGTTTTGAAGTAGTGCCATTTCATTATGACGTCCCTAGGGGGGCTGTTGTTGGGGCCTCTGGCCTGTAGGGCTCTATGAGCTCTATCGATCCACCACTGGTGCTCGGGTATGTCAGGGAGGCCCCTTCGGAAGCAGTTCACTAACTCTGTTTCCAGATCTGCATCGCTGACCGTCTCTGGTAGGCCGCATATGCGCAAGTTATTGCGGCGTGCTCAGTTGGACATGTCTTCAATTTCGATTTCCAGGTCTGTGATCCGGTGCTGTAGCGTGTTGGTAAGGTTTGTAATGCCATTTTGCGCGGTGACCACATGGGCCACGCATTGTTCCACAATGGTGGTGCGGGTCCCTATGGCGGCTATTTCGGACTTAACTTCTGCCGCTGTGCGTGCGATTTCCGCCGCCAGGAATCCTTTCACCTCTGTAATTGATTGCAGCATAGTAGTGTTGGAGGTGTCAGGAGGGGTCCCCTGTATCGTGGCCGGACCTGCTGCTTCAGCGGGCTTCGGAGTTTGGTCCGCGTGGACACCTCGTGCTGAAGGCCTCTGTGTGGCCAGCATGTCTGCAACCGACATAGCCTCCCTATGGCTTGGTTTCGCCGATTTGCGGCTGGGCATCCGCAGCGATGGTAAGGGTTCGACTTGGACAGTCTGTGGATCAGGTTTTGGACCTTTCAGGTTTGGTTGTAGCAGGTTACAGGGCTATATTACAGGTCTCGGGTGCAGAGCTCTGTCTCTAGGTGGCCATCTCGATCCGCGGTCAAACCACGCCCCCTTGCTCCCTGTTTTTTTGCTCTCCACAAGTTTAAAGGGTAATCCAGACGTGGACCCCTTGCTCACGCTGCCTAGATAGATATCAGCTATGCCTCACTGATAATGCCTAACAAGGCTGAAACGATCGTCTGGGGTTGCTGTATCTCTCGTGCAGAGGGAACTTGCTGCATTTTGGATCTGGACTGCCCGTATGGGTGGGACCAGTCTGATATGTTTCAGAGATGTTCTCTCTGTAATGGCACAAGATGAGCTAAAACCAGCTTGAGTTCTGAGCGGGGACCCACCAAAGGGTAGGCTATTTCAGCTGCTGCCTCTTCTCAGTATTCTCTTGCGCCCTGTATTTTTGCTCTCCACAAGTTTAAAGGGTAATCCAGACGTGGACCCCTTGCTCATGGTGCCTAGAGAGATATCAGCTATGCCTCACTGCTGAAGGCCTCTGTGTGGCCAGCATGTCTGCAACCGACATAGCCTCCCTATGGCTTGGTTTCGCCGATTTGCGGCTGGGCATCCGCAGCGATGGTAAGGGTTCGACTTGGACAGTCTGTGGATCAGGTTTTGGACCTTTCAGGTTTGATTGTAGCAGGTTACAGGGCTATATTACAGGTCTCGGGTGCCATCTCGATCCGCGGTCAAACCACGCCCCCTTGCTCCCTGTTTTTTTGCTCTCCACAAGTTTAAAGGGTAATCCAGACGTGGACCCCTTGCTCACGCTGCCTAGATAGATATCAGCTATGCCTCACTGATAATGCCTAACAAGGCTGAAACGATCGTCTGGGGTTGCTGTATCTCTCGTGCAGAGGGAACTTGCTGGCATTTCGGATCTGGACTGCCCGGAAGGGTGGGACCAGTCTGATATGTTTCAGAGATGTTCTCTCTGTAATGGTACAAGATGAGCTAAAACCAGCTTGAGTTCTGAGCGGGGACCCACCGAAGGGCAGGCTATTTCAGCTGCTGTCCGTTCTCAGTATTCTCTTGCGCCCTGTTTTTTTGCTCTCTCTCTCTCTCTATAATATATATATATATATATATATATATATATATATATTTATATATATATATTAGGCAAATTGTAGCTTTTGCCAGGGTAAATAGTTATTTGACCTTTAAAACACCATTTACCTGCCAAACTAGTATTCAGGTAAAACCATTAGCACTTACCAGGGTGCTTGTGTGTGTTTTGTGAAGCAGGGCTACTTTCAGAGTGTTGCCTGGGCATTTGTTGACTAGGATTTTATTGGCAAGTACAGACCACGTTCTTGGGGTTCCTGGTTATTTATTTGCAAGCAGGGAACCCTTTCTTTGAGG